ACGGGGCTTAAATAACCACACTAGAGGAATGTTAATTATAAATTTATTAAACAAGGACAACATGACAGAGACGACAAACCACCGACGAAAACAGGCCCCCCCCTCTCTCTCTCTCTCTCTCTCTCGACGTAAGCCCGTCCATCGGAGGGGAAGTAATCAAATGGCGACTCGTCTCAGGCATATTTCTTCAGCATTTTATCTTTTCCTGTTACTTCATTGCCTACTAATTGTCGTCGTTAACTGCAAGACTCTCAAACGAGACGGTATATTTCCTTAATAATTCCTTTTATCAATTTCAATCAACCTTTTTACGATTGTGCAGTGTTAAACTTCCTGCATTTCTGCAAAAAATTGAGCTGATCTGACTCAAAATTGTTTATATTAGTTGAATTAGATTTATTTCAAGGTAACTGGTGATCGCAAATCTGCTAATCCGCTTTTTAGTTATTCATTTACTGCGATTGAATTATTCGGATCGACATTTATAACTGTACACTAGTAAAATATTAAGTGGCGTTGCTAAAACTTGATGAGTATATAAGAACTTTATTAGTTTATTTTAGTGGAGTGAAGTATTGTTTAGTTAGTTACTCTTAATCTGAGCTGAATCCAAGCAATATTGTAGTGGAATTGGATTTTTTCGTAGGTAAATAGTGATAGTGAGTCTGCTTTTTACTAGTGTTTTTTACCGTGATTTAATTGTTTGCATTGACGTTTATCACTGTACATTTACATTTTATGAGTCAAAATTTTAAGCTTGCAGGGCTAAAACTTGATGATTGTTGATGTCCAAAGCATATTCTTAAGTTATTTCTGTGGAGTGAATTATTGTTTATTTAGTTTCATGTAGTTTAATGCCGCCGAAGCTTTAATCTTCATCTCTAATTTTCACTATATCATATACCGTGGTGCTAAAACTTGATGATTATTGATGTATGAAGTATATTTGTACTTTATTCAGTGGAGTGAATTATTGTTTTAGCTAGTTTCATGAGCATAAATTACTAGGTTTTGATGCAACATATTGTGCTGTTGATTTTGTACTTTTCTGTGGCCAAAGAAGAGGAAAAAGACTATTATAAAGTGTTGGGATCTGTCGTGGACTAAATTTAGTGCCGCCCTGAATTTATTTTTCAGTCATCATTAATGGAACTGAGAGTATCTAAGTAGTGGGTTAAGTTATTTGAGTTGAAAAATAGAGAAACTGAGGAGCAGTGCTATATGAATTTGTGTACTGGGGTCAATTTGTAAGACGCGTATTTGTATGCTGATTAAATTTTGTACTGTGTTATTAATCGCAGTGAAAGCATTAAATGAAATAAAGGCATCACTGGGTTGGAGAGTGGTATATGCTTGGGTTGGTGATGATCCTTGTGGAGATGGTGATTTGCCCCCATGGTCTGGTGTCACATGTACCACTGTGAGTGGTGGTGACTATAGAGTTGTTACTGAATTGTGAGTTTCTTGTCACTCTATATTTTATACTATTCACAACTTTTGTATACTCACTCTGTCCCACAAATATGAACTTGATTTCTTTTCTTTTTTTTT